TCTCTGTTCATTTTTTTCATAACGTCTTGCGTTAGTAATTTAAATAGAGTTTTACGTAGTCACGCTGTAAAACTACATTTGTACAATTAAAATTAAAAAACAAAAAAAAAAGCTACAACAACTTTGTTCGTTTAAAGCATTTTAGCTAGAATATCATCATTTGGTTGTATCTTCCAAAATTGATATCGCAACGTATTGATTCCCCTGAGCTGATTTCGAATCACCAACCTGGTGCGTTGAAGCTGTTAACCGACTAAATTAGGCTATTTTCAATCTCCTTGGAAGACAATTTGTTTGTATCCATTCTTCGCGTGGATAGTAAGTAATGCATTGATCCGTTGGATTTCAAGGTTTATATTTTTCTTTTCTTATACTTTCGATTTAGAGTTTATGTTGTTACATTCACCAAAGTTGTAATACAGTCGCTTCTTGCAATTTTAGTGTCATTTTCTTCTAATACTTATTTTTTTGTCCCCAAGAAAAAGTATTGCATCTTTAGTGATACAACTGTTTTTTTTTTTTTTAATAGTGAGAATACAATTGTTTCTCTTACTAATAGAAAACTAAATGGTTTACCATATAAATTTGATTAAAAGAATTTTTTTGACTTTAAATTCCGATTAAAAAGCAATGGAAACCAAACGTCAGAAAATTTCGATTAAATTCCAACTCATGAAACCAAACGTCTTTCTCAAAATTAAAAAAAAAAAAACTCAGTACAAAATTCAAGATAAAATATATCATGCAAGTTCATAAATCTTTAAACCAAAGACAAAACAAACTAGTTCAATAAAAAAAAATCGAAAAAACAAAGTTTGGTTCAAGGACATTTGGACCTTATTACATCAATAAGCCTTCTTTTCTTGATCTGAAAGTAGAGCGGATGTAGACTTATTCAATGATAGAAAAGAGTTTTGCAAAATAGGAGAATAAGAAGAAAGCCACAAGATAACTTGCGCTATCATTAAACTTGAGAAAACTAAGTCAAAGATTGAGTTCTGTGACCATAGGAGAGGACCAACCAGACATACTCAGCTCAAGAACATTCTATCCTTGTGTCTCCTCTTTCATTACCAAAGCAATTGCTTTCCTTTCAACGGCGGAAGAAGTTGTAACTGATCCAACAATCATTAGATCATTCTCTCTTTCCAATTTCAGTTCTTCTAATTTCACTGCAGTGCGAGCAATTGCATCATTTTGAGAGACAGATGGTAACTCAATCTTGTCATCTTCTTCAGCTTTGATTGGTACCAATGGCTTCACATCTTCCATATCTATGGAGGATGGCACCAAAGATTCTTTCTCCGAACCTTCAGTAGATTCTTGTTCCATCTCCTCATTTTCTTGTTCTTTGAAAAATACATCTGTTATGTTGTCCCAACCGTGGGCGCGTCTGTTGTTCAAACCAAATCAATTTTGAAAATAAATATGTATAGAGAAAATATTGACCTAATAAATGTGAACATAAAATGTAAGGTAGAAAATATGTTTTAATTGTAACTTGAAACCTAGAACTAGTAAGACTAAAGAAAAATTAAAAAATGTTTCAAAGTACCTAAGTTTTTTGGCAGGGTCGGGACCAGCATCATTATAACAGACTGGACAACATTTGAAATCTCCTCGTGCAATCGTTTCATAGATGCACTTCCGACAAACTGTTTACAAAGATTTAACAAGTCTTCAGTTCTCAAATCAAATACAACAAATTGATACTTTGAAGGAAAAATTGTGAATCTCTATAAACTCTATCCAAACAATAATGAAACTTAACTTATGATCTTTAGAGCAAAATATGATTAGTTGTTTGGACCATAAGGGATCAAGAATTTTTTAAATCAAAATGGTTGGAATCAATATAAGATATTTAGACCTTGTTGACAAAAAAATTGAAAGAAAGATTTTTTGACCTCAAGAGTAATTCTGGATTAAATATTTTCATTGTTCCAAGATGATAATTTTATTTTAACAAATAAAAACCAAAGTTTAAATAGATCTATCTCAATCATAATTAAGTGAAAAAGTTAGATATATCATTTCTTAATTATATATAGTGAATTGAAGACTCACACTTGTGAAAGTAATCGTTTAAGACTGTGGCTTCGTCAAATATATTGAAGCAGATACCACAGCTGCATATTTCTCTCAACTTCCCCATCGTCTCCATATCGAACTCCATCATCTCTTCTTCGTCTTTGTTCATATTCCTACCAATAAAAACAATTAGCAAATGATATATATATAAATCTATTTCATTTATATGCTAAAGTTTTCTGGTTAACTTCTTTTTTTTTTTGCTAAACAAATTTTTCTGCTTAACTACATTAATATGATTTAAACGAACTATACGCTGGTTAAATCTTTTTATTAACGAATTAAACTTTAATCAAAATAAAATATTTAATATAGGAGATTCTTTATACACAATTTCATGAAAAAAATGAAATTTTAAAGTTTCAAATTAAATAAATCCCTTTTAAAAACTGATATGCGCATTTTTCAGAGAAAAACAAAAAATTATGATGTAAATCATTTTCAAGTTTCCTAGTTGATACGGATAAGACTTGAGTATTAAATATAACTCTTTTTGGTGTTTCTTAGATCTATTTCTTTAGTAATTGTAGTACAATATCTGATAGTGTGCAATGATTTCTTATCTGTAAAATGTATGAATCAAACATTACAACAAAACAACTGTGGGTACATTT